CCAACTTTCCATGTGCCCGAAGTACGTGTACTCGCCGTGCATTTGTTGTCTGTGCGTGTGCTTGGTGTATTTGCATTAGGAGAGCGTGTACTAGCTCTAGACGTGGGCTACTTGCAACAGCTTACTGCAGAAAGTCCCAGCTGAAGCCGCTCTCCTCTACCTGTATGCTGATAATCTGAAATACAGCACACCGACTCATCAGTACCTCCTAAGGCGTAAGCCCGTTAGTAAATAAATGGCCAGTACACCGACTGCCGATGTGAAGATGCGTTTTTTGCATAGTCCCCTGCAGTTTTTGTCGCTACTGGCACCGGTTTTCCCGGCAGATGCTTCTAGCTACGAGAAGTGAAACTGGCCACCAGGGCCGTATGAAAAGATCCCTTTAAAATTTCAAACTTCTAGCATCTCAGGTTCCCGAGTTAGCAACTTACCCGAAAAAAACTTTGGCGGGCCCGTACGTGGGTACCAAATGAGAAAGAGCGACCATTTTGAAGATGGAGGTTCGTACACCATGCAGATTAAGTACCTAAAGTTTTAGCCTTGTAGCTTTTGTTGGTCTCTAAATGAAAAATCGGAACAGACGCAAAGCACACACATACACACACACGCACACACACATACACACACAGAAATACACAAACCACCCATCGCCAATACGCATTTTCTGTATTGCACAGCTGCAAAAAACGCATTAAAAAAATTCACCTACCAGAGCTTCTAAAAAGTGCTGGATTACATTCATGATAGCGCTTTGCGAAATGTTCGACAATACGAGTCCTTTCTTGCGTTTCACCAGTTAGGCAAAACCTCGAAAGGAAGTCACGCATAGCCGCATCCAAACGGATTCCAGAAAAATTGAACAAAGCACAGTACTCTTCAGCAACCGATATTCCAAATTCATTCCTCAAATTAGTAATCGATTAAATCATGAAAATAAGAAAATTTGAAGACTTTCTGCTTTAGAATACAAAATTAATAGTCGGGCAAAACGTAAGGGGAGTTTCATGACCACCACGGAACAGATCCCCATATTTGCTTGCTTCATCTCATCACAAAACTGGTACTAAAATGCTTCAACACGTTCGGTCCCAAACGGCCTTAAATTTGCATTCAAAAAATCTCGGAACTTGTTGAACGGAGATTACTAATAAGATGCCCACTCTTGCTTTCGTCTCTTCTTTGGTCTGAAAATAAGAGGGATGAAAATCAAACTTCAGATTTAAACGATGATCATCAGTTCACTCTTACTCTGACATCCGCTGACTTCGTCACTGGGACAACTGAATTCTCTACGATTTGTGCTGATGGTAAGCTGGAACTGATCTGACAGTCAAACCCGCTATCGGCTTACGTTTAAGCCTCTGAAGCTGGGAAGGCGGATTTTGACTATCGCCACAGGTTTCGGACCTGCTGAAGCTAATCGCGGCCAGCGTGTGGGAAAATTCCAGTGTAGAAATCCCGGTCAATTATCCGGCGGCCTTTGTATAACACCTTGATGACTTTAGAACACGCTCCCTCGCATTAGTCAGCAAAAAAGAAAAGAAGATTCATTTGTAATCGTGTGCTTCAAAACAAATTCCCCAGTACCCTCGGGTTCAGTGTGGTGTGAACGACGATATGAATTTTCGGAGCAGCAGTACTGTTCTACGTGCTTATATATTTAAAAAAAGTTACATTTTTGATAAATGTGCAGCGACATCTTCTTTCCTGAAGCCATCCAATGTAAACAAACGTTTCGCAAGTCGTGTGCATGCCTCTGTGCCAGTATCCGATCTTCTGTCATAGTCTGAATAGGGGAACGCAGTGCAGAGGATTTTGTACAGAACACATGTCTCAGCTTAATAAAAGTGGTGCAGTCACGCTGAATTTAATCTCTTTAGCACCTGAGCTCTCCGTGCATGAACAACGCGAATTTCCGCCAACTTAAATGAATCCGATTTTCAATAAGGCAGCTACTCTCAACGTGAGTAAGACCACGAGGCAGAAGTGCTATTTTAAGCGTAGAAGCCATTTGGAACAGAAGCGTCAAACGCTGGGATTTCCACCTCTCTTTCCAGCAGCTGAATATTCAATGAAATTTCAGAAACCACATTTTCCAGAAAGAAAAATTGCAAAAAGTGGAACAAATTTACCTAGCGGTGATGGACATCTGATAGTTGATATCAAATTTCCCACAATCGCTGCAGACGTTTTTGCAGGGCTGTTTGGCTCACTTCTGCTTGCTTTTGCCGGTCTCACAAACTCAGTAGTGAGACGCTCAATCTTTGGGCTCTGTGCAGCTGTGGAGTTGCTGCAGTGCGAGGAAAGTGCACTCGAAAAAGTCGCTATAGATCCGTTTGCATCTGCTGCGCCATTTAAATTATTCCTATCCAAATTCACCGTCACCGAAGAATTCTGCTCGTTATTCCCAATATCCTGGAATTAGCACTCACCGTCTGGCATGTGTTACTACTTTGTGCATTGTACAGGCACAAAAAAAGCATGATTACACCGCTGTGGTCAAACTCCAAAGAAACCTATTTCAGCTGTGCACTGGTTCAAGAGGTCCTCATCCTAGGGCTTAGACCCATTTACCTGTGTGTATATCAGTTTACAGCCACATCAGATTCTTGACTTTAGTTTAAGCTAATTTTTAAATATTTTTTAACTGAATTTTATAACCACGCGTCTTAATTTCGCGTCTCTTTATTCAAATGTTGCATAAATTCGTTCCATACAGACGAATTTGATAATCTCTTTTTCCTCAGCCAAAACGAAACCAGTTGCTTTTTATGCGTTTTTTGCATTTATGCAATGCAAAAACGCATATTGCTGAGAGGCTGTCTGTTTGTGTCTGCGTGTCCGTTTGTACAGATTTTTCATCTCGAGACTCACAAAAGTTACAGGGGTGAAAATTTTGGAACTTAATCTACCTGCATGTATGGGTCCCAATCCCCAAAATGGACGCTCTTACCCAGGGAACGGGTCCGCCAAAGTTTTTAGCAGGTAAGCTGCTAACTCGGGGAACAGAAATCTAAAAGGCTGGAATTTTAAGGGAATGTTCTCCATCCACACAGATCATAATGAGCTCAAACCCAGCCCCACGGCATGCGCGGTTCCCACTTACGGGTCCGTAAAAGTTTCTTGCGGATAAGCTGCTAACTCAGAAACCTGAAAATTAGAACGCTGTAGTTGTAAGGAATGTTCCCCGTCCACATATACCTTGAGGATCTAAACCCAGCCGCAAGATGTGCGTGATTCCCACGTACGGACCCGTGAAATTTTTTGGCGGGGAAGTCGCAAACTCAGGAACCAGAAAAGTTAGAAACCTTAAATTTTAAGAGGGTTTCCTGACAGTCTTGGCGGTCAGTCTCAATCCGTTTAGCTAGAAGCATTTGCCGGAAAAGTCGGTGCCGTTAGCAACAAAAACTTCCGGGTAACTATGCAAAAAACGCATCTTCGCACTGGCATTCGGTGCGCTGGCCAATTATTCTCTTTCCCCATTTTTTTCGGAGATGCCAATTCATGAACCTGAAATACGATCATAATCCACCACTACATTTTTTATGCATTTTGTGCTGCAACAGTCGCACTAAACACATACTATCGAGACAATGTCTCTGTGTGTGTGTGTGTGTGTGTGTGTGTGTGTATGTATGTATGTATGTATGTTCCGAGTCCATTTTATCCGCGGGTTCTAACTTGGGAACCAGAGGCTAGAGAGCTGAAATTTTAGTAGGACAGGTACGTGGTATGAACGCCGATGTGCGACCCCGTAAACTTAAATTCAGCGTTCATGCACCCCAGGCATCACGCACAGCCTTGCGGGAGTTTTCGCGAGGGAAATTATTCTCTCGGGAACCACGAAAGTTGGAAAGCTGAAATATTAAAGTAATGACTCCTGTCCCACTACGATCCAGGAAACTAATCCCTCCAGCGCGCCTGGGTATCATGAACGACCCCTGAAAACTTTAGCAGTGAAAATTACTATTTCTGGAATCACGAAAGCTAGGGGGCTGAAATTTTCGGAGAATGTCCCCTCTCACGTACGACGCAGCAAATTTAAATTCAGCCCTCTGCTCGTCTAAGTACCACGTATATGGCCCCGTGGAAATTTCGGCGGAGAGAATTACTACTTCGGAAACGATGTAAGCTAGAAGGCTGAAGTTATAAGGTAGTGAGTGATCCCTGCCCATGTACAACCCCGCAAACACGAATTCAGCCTTCATTTAGGCCTAGGTCCCATGCACGGGCTATGAAACTTTTTGCGGGAAAAATTACTATTGCCTTGTGAGCGAGAACAGCTGGCAGGCTAAAAACTTCAAGAGGATGTTTCCTGCTTATGCAGAGGCCTAGTAAACTCATACTTAAATCCAAATTATGAAGTCTCACGCACGATCATGCAAAAGTTTTGGTGCGAAAGCCACGCGGAAGCCGGACAACTAGGAGGTCGAAATTTTGACACAATGTTCACCGTCTAAGGTTTCAAATCCACTTTCACGTACTTCCGCGTTTCGCGTACTGGGACGTGAAATTTTTAATGGGAAATTTCGCGGCTTAGGAATCAAACAGCATACCGGCTATTTTTCCACAGACCAAAGTGCAAAACAGTGAAAATCGTTGAGAAGCGTCAGGTGGTCGAAACCGCGTAAAGCGCACGATTGTACTGGCTACCCTGGTGCGCGCCGCTATTTATTTTCCTTCTGCTTAAAGACGCAGCGGGGCATTGGCTGACTGAAGTATAAGCTACCTGAATATCCTCCTCATGTAAGCCATTCTCGGACTGCGACGCCGGTACAGCAGACTCCACGTTGAATCTCCTTGTTCTTGCTTTCTCTTGCATTGCAGATGGAAAATCCCGGAATGGGCCTTTCGGTGTCCGTATTTCTGCTCTTTCTGTAGTCGGTGGCAGCTGCTCGAAGTTCATCTACAAATCGATAAGTTCTGAGGACATAACGAGACCAATATCGAATGTGATCACGAACTGCTCATCGCTGTCCTCAGAAAGCGAGCATTAATGCTGGCTGAAAGACATCCCGTTCTGCAACAGGCCAGCCCCATAAGCTCACGCTGAACTGTGGCTGTGAGCAGATCGCTTGCCAGACTGAGCTGCAGACCCCCGCACAGGCAACATCTACTACTTCCCTCAGTGAAGCCTCGTACCTTCCACCAGTCGGAGGCGGTGACGCCACAGAAAGCCCAGTTTCTGGCTCAAACAAAGGCATCAGGGACGCAAGAGAGGCCGTAATGTTACCTCAGCGTAGCGCGGTGATACTCTGTGATTCAAATTGATCATCTTGTCGCCGGTCATCAGGAAGAACTCAGAACGCGGTGCCCCGTTCTTCAGGCTGTTCTCGGTGCCCGCGTCCAGTGCGGCCCGTGACAGGTCGCGCCCGATCAGCACCTCCGTCATACCTGCAAACCTCATCACCAATGCTATCAGAGAAATGACGAAAGACGCGCTTCACTTGACAGTGCGCTCAGCGCCGGGGCAGCAGAAGATATCACGCAGAAGCAGAAGCGCAACTCGCGAAGCAGAGCAAGGAGGAACTGAGCGTCGTGCTGGAAAGAGAAGTGAACTCGCAAGATGCGCAAGGCGCTCGCTGTTGAGACAGGTCAGTGCATGCAAAGAACAAGCCCAACAGACCGATGCGTGACCCAAGGCCATTCCGAAGCTAGCACCCACAGCACAGCACTGACTCATGGTCCGGCTGCACCGTGATCACCAAAGACGCACAACACGCTGTTTAATGAAGCGAACCCTCAAATACTTTTGCCAATATAGAGGCAGCTGCCGCACCGGACAATGCCCAAGCGAATCCCAGGAAAACACTTCCTCGGTGCCGCCCAACAGCACAATATGCCTGGCATTGAAGTACAGCGCATTCCCACAAATGTGCGACATCAAAGCCACTTCACAAACCATTGCCAAAAATCGCTTAACCATTTAGGAACTCTCCTCACCTTCACCCTGGAAGCCGCCCTCTCCCGAAAGCTACTAAATCTGGTAATTACAGAAACTCGGCTCGGCCGGCGTCGTACACGATCTGCGAAAAATTTTTTCCGCCAACGACTGGTATGACTGCCCGTACCGGATGGCGG